ATCGTTGTCGTTTGATGGTTCCTTGATAATTTGTTTTCTTTTAAAAAATTTCTCCATAACTACATCATATAAAAATAATTCAATAATGAGTTTAAAAGAATAATATATATCATATTGGGTACAAAAGAATAATATACATAGGCATCTTAATAATATACATAGGCACAATCTTAATAGCACCATGGAAGTTAATAATTAATTTGAACCAAATTCAAAATTAAATGAATTGAAATACTACCACATCAATCTCATATAGCACAAAGCAACAAGTTGAAATAGCAATATAAGACGAGTAGGAGTAACAAATTAATAGAATGGTTATTAGGCAAGCACCTTTTATAATTATAGCAGTAAAATTTCATATACTTTCTAACTTTCATTATATATTTTTTTCCTCTAAATAATTAGAGCCTAAAAATGATGGGTTTAATTCATTAATTGTAGATTGCAAAAGAAAACCAAGCCAACATATACAATTAATGCAACATCTTAATTTATCCTTTTTATTTATTTATGAATCATGAGCCAAGTTTATTTATTTATCATGAGAACTATAATTAATTACCCTTACACACTTATGAAAATATAGCCAAACCTAATCATAAAATTCACATGAATCATGATCCTCCCTATTCTCAAACATGTCATCTTCACCTTTCAAAAAGATAATTATTCTAAATTGATCTTTTAAACTAACAAGGATTTTAATTACATATCAATTTAACCACTCCACTTTGATTATATGGGTAATGTGCTCCTCAATGTTTCTCTATGTTAATATCATAGAAGTTAGGTATTAAAAATACATACATATATATATATATATATATATATATTACATGATAAAAAATTAAAAATAAATAATTGAGAAACAAAAAAAGAAACTAACCTAATTTTCTATTGAGATCCAAAAGCCCAATCTCCACTTCATTTGATTTTTCAATAACAAAGATATAAGCTCTTGACTTGAAAAAAAAGAAAGAAAAAAAAATAGAAGTCTGTAGAAGAAAAAGATAGGAGAGAGAGTGAAAAATGAAATATGAAAAGGTAAAGGTGAAAAAGAAAGAAGCGGGAAGTCGGGACCACTGGAAAAGAAAAGACATACACGTGGGTGTGGCATATGGGCAAAAGTTTGAATCATCTTTCTTCTTCTAAATTATATATATATATATATAATTTTTGGTGGGGCCTTGCACATTTGTCTCTACATATAGGAGCAAAATGGCTTTGACCATCTCTTCTTGTTCTAAATTAAATATGTATATGTATATATATGTATATTTTATTTATTAAAAAAAAATTAGTGGGGTAAGTAGGGGTACCATTATGTATTCGTCTCTAAATGTATAAAGCCAAACTACTTCCAAAATCATATCATACAACCCTAAAGGCATTAATAAAACTACGGTTTCAAAATTTTCTCATTACTTTCATTTAAAATTCTTACACATGTAATCCTATATAATGTCACCACCATTAACTAACTTTAGTGTCACTAGTTCAATCTGAATGATATCATAATGATTTCCTTGCAAATCCTAAATTTATAAAATTATGTGTACTTCTAATGTCAATCGGAACATTCATTCTTTTTCCTTAAAAATTCCCTATGACCTTCATGGTTTGGTAATGCTCCCTATTAAATACTACTTGTACTTGATATTTGATAGGGTTCCTTATTGTATCTTCCTATATCCTATGTTCTCCCACTTAACACTTCTTCCTCAATTAGATCGGTATCTTCAATATTAACCTTATCTTCCTCTACTTCTAGCATTAACATCTGTCTACTCTACTCCTATGACTAAGAGTGTATTTGTCATCACAAAGGTAGCATAGTCCCATTAACCTTCTTTTATCCACTTCTATGTTATTAAGCAACCTCTTAGTTTTGAATATTGAGTTACTATTTTGAAATTGAGTTGAAAAAGGTAATGAGCCTTTTTGGTTATTTGTAGGATTATTAGAATAGTTCATTGATACATTTTGGTATGAAGAATTTATAGGTTTGTAATTGGCGGTATTGTTCATTCTTGAAAAATGAATGGTTAGTGTTTGGTTTTAGGTTGAACAAAGGAGGGATTTTGGCATTAAATCTGCTAGAACTATGGTGAATATTTCAATTAGTTTCTTATAGTTTAGCTAAAGCTATTGCTTTTTAAGACTTTTTGGCCTCATCACCCCTAATAGAACTTGTAACTTAGGCTTTAAACCTCCAATAAAGCGAGCTAATGACATAGTCCTTAGGTAAACCCGCTTATTAACAATAGAAATTAATTTTGTAAGGAAACATTGGACATCCTAAACTTGTTTTATTCCTATTAATTCAACGATAGGATCACTAAATACCATAGCATTGAAATGAATGCTCATGGATTTAACATAATCCTCTCATTTAATTAGTGAATTACTTCTATTCATTCTCATGAAAACTTGATGCCATTCTAAAGCTTCTTCTTCTAAGTGTATGGTAGCCAAGTTCACTTTGGCATCCTCAAGAGATTTATCAACCATAAAAAGCTTATCACACCTAAAAGTCCATACCTTAAAGTACTCTTCGGAAAATCTTAGAAATTCCACCTTAGACATTCCGGTGTTAAAATTGTATCCCATACTACCCCTTACATTACTATTATTTCTCACACCAAGCATTCATTCTCATTCATTGAATAACCATACCTATGAACTTCATAACCTCTATCATTTAAATTTCCTAGCTCCTCCTTAGTATTACCATTCCTTTTCTCATGTAATGTAATATTGAGTTCAATAATTAATTCTTTTAGTTCACTAATATCATGATCATGTTATGAAAAAACTAAATCGCATCTATGTGTAAGATCAATGATTACCTTAATGAATGTAGCAATCGATTCTTTCATCTTTTTGAGATCAATATTTCCTTTTGCCATGATTGATGTTGATAGTGTTCCATAGGTAAAAGAATCATGCTTGATACCAATTAATGCAATCCAAATTCCGAGTAACCAAGAGAAAGAAGAATGTGATGCAAAAAATGAATTGTTATTAGATTTATTAAGTTAAAACAAGTTCTTCAAGTACAATCAAACAATGAAATGAATCAATGATTAACACTAATTATAAGAGTTTTGCAATTGTTATAAGAAAAATTCAAAATGAGAAGAAAGAAGAGTAGAAAGAATTCTAAAAAGAGAAAATATAGAGAGAAACATCCACATAGAGAGAGAGAGTGAGATGAGAACATAGTTCTTGCCTAAAACATTACAAATTAACCTTCTTCCTTTTATAACAAATTTTCCCCTAGGCTAACTAATTCTTGTAACTACTCTCTAACGATTCCTCCTAACACTTCCATAGATCATAGTGGCACTACAATAGAAATGCCACGTAAGCATTATCATCTTATCATAAGTTTTACATGAGAAGCCTTCCACGTAATAGCCAACTCCTCTATTATTGATTGAACCTGCAAAATAGTCACACAAGTAACTATAATGGTAACAACATCTTGATCCGTAGGATGAAAATTCAAATTCCATAATGGAATGAAAGAGTTGAGAAGGGAAAAGATGGTTGGGGTTAGGAATTTTAGAATTTAGGGTTAAAGAAGAATACTAGTTTTGCCCGTAAATAATTCATTTTAGTAAGGTCTTCTAGTTCCACACGTGCGACGCAAATGTGCTTTAAGTTACTGCTTCTATTTTTTAAACATTTTTTCACTATTTTTCTTTTTTTCCATTTAGGGCAATTTGTTCAAAAAAAATAATCAATTTAATTTTTTGATAAAAAAAATTAGGCTAGAATGACAGATTAAACATTTCAAATACATTTAGTAATAAATGATATGCAATTAGAAAGCTAGAGACGGATGGATGACATTAGGTATTATATAAGAACAAATAAGTATATTTATCCAATTTATAAACTAACAAGTTGACCTTCATTTTGTTAATCTTTTAATTTCTTCATTAATTATGTGGATGAAACACAAACACACACACACACACATATATATATATGGGAAAAGTTTTAGATTTTTATTCCTTCAGTGCAAGTGAAGGTGGGTATCGAAAAATTAGTTTTTATTCCTATTTCTTGGATTCATAAGCAAATTACGGGTCATCCATAACAAATTAACACTTGTTGTATACATGTTCCAAAATGCATGGCTTCTTATGCTTGAGAGTGGGTTAAGGTATGTTGGCCTATAAATATAAATGGGTTTATTTCATAGTTGGTTTATGTATTCTTTGAATTTTTTTAATTGAGATTCTATTTTTTTCTCTTGATTGAAACCTTCTATTTTAAAAAATTTATTGATTGAGACTTTCTATTAAATATTTACCTTACATGGCATGTTAAAATTAATAGTAACCAATCACAAATGAATAATAACCAATTACGAGTCATCCATAAAAAATTAACACTTGTTGCATGCATGTTCCAAAATGCATGGCTTCTTATGCTTGAGAGTGGGTTAAGGTATGTTGGCTTATAAATATAAATGGGTTTATCTCATAGATGGTTTTTGTATTCTTTGAATTTTTTAATTGAGACTTTATTTTTTTTCCTCTTAATTGAAACCTTCGTTTTAAAAAATTTATTGATTGAAACTCTTTGTTAAATATTTACGTTACGTGGCATTTTAAAATTAATAATAAACAATCATAAATGAACACATGATAATATGGCCCCAAGTGTCATGAAATTATAAAAAAAAAAAAAAAAAAGGTTTAAAAGAATTTTAATATTAAACAAATATTTAAGTTTTAAAAATAAATGGAAAAAGACCACATTGCCTCACCCCACCCCTATTATTGCAAAATCCATTTTTTTCATACATAAATCCGTTCTCTCTCTCTTGACAAACTCTAAAATCCCAAATCCCTAATTTCAACATTCCTCAGAGAGTGGAACATGATCAGACAATTAAGAAGGCAATCAGAGAAGGACTATATAAATATGGTAGGTCTTTCTTCGTTTCCATTCAAAACTTGCAGGAAAGGAAAGAGAAAAGAATGGCTATGCAGTTTGAGCTTCTGGTCATTCTTTTGCTGGGGCCATTAGATGCAATGCTTGCATCAGCACAATCTATGGCAAAGCCTAATTGCGAAGCTCAATGCGAAAACATCGACATTCCGTACTCTTTTGGAATGGAAGTTGGTTGCTACCTGAATGAGAGGTTCATAATACATTGCAACTCCAAAAATACTCTTTATCTTTCCATAAACACCATCGATCTAGAGGTGTTGAGAATTTTTGTTGATGAAGGCACCATTCAGGTCAATTTTCTGATTTTCTATTCGAGAAATTGCGGAGGTAGGAAAAGCAATCCAATTATTGCGAATTTGGAAGGAACCCATTTGCGGGCTCAAAATGGAACAGATTTGTTGAGGAAATAAGGCTGAATAATGACAAAATTAATGAGTTAGGTTGGTACGATGAGGTGGAGGCAGTTTTATCTTTTTATTCATTTTTAAATACTAAAAATTAGTTTAATAAATTTTTTTTGAATTTTAGTTTTTTCCTAGACGAAAAACTTTGACACTTGGAACTTACATTTTCATGCGTTCGCTAATGATTTGTTATTGTTAATATTAAATATTAAGTTGAATAAATAGTTAACGAGATGGTCTGAATTATAATTTTAAAAAAATCATTACATAATGTAATAGTCATTATATAATAATTTCGAAATACCTTATTATCATTATTTAGCGTTATAGGTGCCCCGACGTCATTTCATAAGTATAACGACAAATAATGACATTATACATAAAAAAAAAAATTCAACCATTTTAGATTTAGAGTTTCAAAGTTTATTTTATTAGAAAATAAGAATCAATTACTAGAGTTACGGACTTGATTGAATAAATATTAAATTAGTGCTTTTATTTTGTCAAAATAAATTATTTAGTCCTTTTTTATTTCAAAAACCAATTATTTAGTTATATTTTTTCATTTTATGTTATTTTCTAATTTATTTATTTTTTTTGAAAAAAATAAATCTATATCATGAACATATTGATGAAAAAAATCATTTTTTGAAATATAATATATTATATTAAACATGATCAAAAAAATAAATGATTAGTTTTTAAAACGTTTAGAACTAATTAATTCATTATCAAAACTAAAGAGGTTCATATATAATTTACTTTAGGTTCTCTATCTTGTGCGCAGAAGCAACAAATTCAAAGGCCTGCAAATGTAGGCTTTAATTGAGTAAATTATAAATTAATCCTTTTAGTTTGGGGAAAAAAATAGTTGGTCTTTTTTTGTTTCAAAAACCAATTATTTAGTAATTTTTTAAAATTTTATGTTATTTTCTAATTTTTTTTCCTTTTTTTCTAAAAATTAGAAAAATAAAAAAAAATAAATTTAATAAGAATGATGAAAAAAATTTGTGAAATAAAATATCTTATATTAAATATAGTCAACATTGAATAAATTTATGAAAATTAGAATTTGTTATTACTTATTAATATATTTAATTAGTAAAACTGTTAAAAATATATAAATTAGAATAAATGTATTAACGAGTTGTTAATATATTCACGATATTTATTGCTGCAATTGTTACTTTGCTATCGCGATAACAATCGAGACCGTTTTTTAAACCGTGATCGTTATTTAAAACTATGATCCGAATCGATAAATTTATAAGACTAGAGAGTTTCAATAAATAAAAAATAAAAAAATCTCACACGAAAAAATTTGAAGAATACCGAAACCAAATGCGAGGTAAACTCAAAAATAAACTAATCAGTTAAAAGTTTAAATCCTTGATTCAAGGTATCGCCGGTAACCCACAGCTTCAAATTTGGCAAATTAATGTTCTGGTCACTCTCTTTAACATGTTTCCAAAATAATAATTTATTTATTAACCCATGAAATAACAACATAAGAGAGGTGTCCTTTTCAGGCAAAATCGATGAGAATTGAGAGGCCATGATCTTTTACATCATGGTGTGAACGGAATCAAGTGGGAGAATTTCTGACGTTGGAAGGGTTTTAATTTATGTTGGGAGGTTTCTGAAACAATAGTATTAATATAAAATAAGAACTATGGCTCTGATTAGTGGGTTTACACAAAAACAAATTGAAAAAACTATGGCTTTGAGTGACTAAATTGTTCGTGTTTACACGAATTTATATCTTACAACTTGTCATCTTAGATTCTTGGAAAGAGAATGAATGAAGTATGGTTAAGAAAATATATAAAACGAGTCAACCTTGCTGTATTTTGCCACGTAGTTGGTTCAACTAGTTTTGATTATAAAAAATGGCTCCATCTGCCAAAAATATATACACAACCTCATTTCGTTGGTGCTACATTTCATGGCGGCAAACTTAAAAATGCATTATATTCTTCCATGGAACCATGATGCCAGGAAAAGAGTCAACCGCTACTTGGATATGCTATATATTGTAATTTGCGTAGTCATTAACAAATATCTTCTTTTTTCTAATCACAATTAATTAATATTCTTAATTATTTAGCTCATGAACGTCTATCTTATTACATCTTATTTTTTTCTAATCACAATTAATTAATATTCTTAATTATTTAGCCCATGAACGTGTATCACACAATGTAAGTACGTTTGCCATTAGATTCAACAACGCGAACACGTTCCCAAATCCACAAAATGAATTCTCATGTTGGTGAAATACAATAAAGAAATTGCATATGCCTCTCAAGCATCATACTTCCACCAGATTAACATGTGGTATAAGCATTGCTTCCATAATTTATTTATTTATTTTTCCGGGTATCATTGGATTTTTCTGATCTTGAACAACTATCATTAAGTTTATTCATTGGGCCATATTTTTAATTTATTTGATCAAGAATTAATGATTATTTTGTACATCAAATACGAAAATTAGACAATAAAAAATACGTAACATCCAGACTTTCACATACATGGATTTTTAGGATGGATTTGTTATTGTAATCGTTCTAATTGTGCAAGGCCATGAACAAATTTGCTACAAAGAAAGAGGGTTTGGTCATGCACTAGGAAACTTGATCATTTGATTATCGATATATTGGTTGAATCGCTTCATGCTTAGTCTTACAAATGTAAAGCAATACTAAACCGAGAATATTAAAGAAAACTAAGAACATTAGAATCCCTTGCTATCCATGATGAACATAAATAACTACTACAATAAAGAATGTAGATAAGATAAATACAGGAAATCCCAAATAGGTAGGAGGAATCTAGGCGAGATTCGCATGCCAAATGACCAAATGGCTTTAAAACGTCTTAAAAGAGGATTTTGATTTTAAAAATGGCATTTGCGGACTTTGTCTATAGCATCAAGTTCCAGAATTCTAAATCCCCTTTTCTCTGACATCTTATGAATCCCAATCTGACATACAGATCATAAGTTATGATCATCATGTCCTTACACCAAGTTGTTTGATTTGAAACCATATGATTTTTATTTTTCTTTTCGTTTGACCATACCATAGTATCTCATAATTAGAAAAGGATAGATAAAAGTAAGTTTATTTTATAATCATATTTAGGAATGTAACATTTATTTATTTCATAAAAGCTCGTAATATTTACAGCCTTGAAGAAAAATTTCCACTAATTGGCAAGCAAAGGTAAGCTTATGACTGTGCCAGAAAAACTATTCATATCAAATAAATAAATAATAGATAAGTAATATATAAAGTTGAGAATGCACCATTCACCACAAGACTTAAATTTTTTTTTTTTTATGGAACTCAATTTCAACTATCTAACTTAATAGGCTGTAATGTTTAACAAGTTATCCAAAATCATTAGTCCTAATCACATCAAGTTAATTAAGAATGCCTTTCATAAAGACAAAGTAAGTCAATTATATTTGAGCTTCAAAGCATACTCTTTCTCACAAGTCTTTGTACAACAACTGATATTTGGGTATCCGCTCTGGGGGCAGTGGGCAATTCACAATCAGCTTGCCTTTCATGGCCCCTCTGAATATGGCCTGTAAGAAAAGTAAGCAAGTTTTTTTTTTCATTTAGATAGTATCAAGTGTAATCTGCAACTGATCCCATCAGATCCAAGAAAAGAGTTATAAACCAAATATCTTTTCTGAAAAAAGAAACTGGTTTCAAGTGTATCCAACTGTAAGAGAACTTGTGCAGACAGTCAAATGAATATAACACACAGTAGTGGACACAGTACAATTGCAGTATAGCTCAACATTAAACAAGTTTGGGGACAAGTCAGTTGCTTCCATTGTAATTTCATTATGTAGGTCTGTCCTGCAACGGAACATTTATTCCTCAAAGTTTCAACACTTAAACCGCATCGCATCTATTTACTATATCAGACAAAGTGCAGTGAGTAGAGCATAGTTAATTAAAGCTTACTGCATCTTGTCAAAATGGCTACGAGATCGTCCACGCAAAAACATCCAAAAGTTTCATCACTTCACACCAAATTAAAGTCATGAGAATTGAATAACAGAGTAAATATATAATGGTTCTCAGTATTCTTCATGTGCAAGGTTCTTCAAATTTGGAGAGAACACAAATTCTGAAGAAACCTCAGCCTGTCTCTCTTTTTTCCCGTTAGTTCTACTACATTTACTTTATTGATGTTTTGATTTGGCAACTAATAACTAACCTATTATTCTTAATATATCATACACCTAATAACATAGGACACATTTGGGATCTATTTATGGTGGTTTCCGAAGTAGAGTGTTTCTCTAAGTATAGCATAGCTCCTACATCGCCTAAGATTGAATTGTGCCAAAAGAAAACGAATTCTTATAGAAAAGAATCACACTTGAGTCCCATGATTGATGAAATCAAGTATTAATAAATGCTTTTCACACAATAGGCAATTCACAACTGTGGCCAAAGCCTAAAAATTAGGCAACCGTAAATGTATTGCAGTCAAGCGGGAACACAAATATACAACCGAGGACTAATGCTATACCCATGCCAGTTTGCCCCCAACATTGTCGAATAAAAACCAGCCTAGTATCTCTAAGATAACCATTCATAATCTACTATGATCAGAAGATCCAATACAAGAAACTAGAGAAAACAAATAAGAAAACAAAAGACAAATAACCATTCATAATCTACTACAATCAGAAGATCCAATACAAGAAACTAGAGAAACAAATAAGAAAATGAAAGACAAACAAGAATACCTCGACTACATCAATAAAATCTTGTTTGTGCCAAAAGAAAAACAATTCTTCTAGAAAAGAATCACACTTGAATCTCATGATTGATGAAAATCAAGTATCAAGAAATTCCTTTTCACACAATTGGCAATTCACAACTTTTGCCTAAGCCTAAGAAATTATGCATTTGTAAATGAATTCCAGTCAAGTGGGAACACAATTATACAACCAAGGACTAATGCTATATCCTATGCCAGTTTGCCCCCAATGTCTCTAAACTCATCATTCATAACCTACTATAATCAAAAGATCCAATACAAGAAACTAGAGAAACAAATAAGAAAACGAAAGACAAACAAGCATACCTCGACTACATCAATAAAATCTTGTTTTCTGTGAAAAGCACCAACCCATTTAGTATGATCCGCAGTCCTGAACCCACGATACAAATACACTACTTAATTTTTGCCATTTTTTTTCCTTATAAAAAAACATATATATAAAGGGAAAGCAGATTGTACCCAGAATCCATTTTCATATGATGAGCATTGAAGAAGAAGACAGTAGAAGGAACCAAAGTGATATCGAAATATTTTATGTAAACTTGAACATCCTCGGAATCGATGTCTACTAAGGCTATTGTAGCGAATTTCGAAACCTCACGTGCTGATTTTGATAACTGCAATTTGGGAAGAAAAAATATATATAGTTGAAAACATTTTGAGAGAGAGGAATGCTAAGAGCAAAAGAGAGAGGGGGAGATCATACGATGTCGTCGAGATGGAGACAAACGGGATCGGAGGCGCGGCCAAAGCGGAGGACGAGGACCTTGTCGATGGTGTCTCTGATAATGGAGTCGATGTCTTTCTTCTTTGTAAGCGGCGTTGTTGTTAATAGGTAATCGGTCATATTCTCGTTGGATGGTGTCTCTGGGAAGTTCTGCCTAGAAAAATTGGAAACGACATGAAACCTCGTAAAAGGAAAGGAAGGAACCCAAAAAATCTGGTGAGAACGAATAGGAAGAACGAAGGAGAAAACCCAACTTTTTCCATTTAATGGGCCTATTTCAGTTTATCTTTCTACTGGGCTTGGGTTAATAAACATAATTGGGATATTTAGTGAAATGTGGGGGAAAAGAAAGTATTAAGGTCACCCTTCGCATAAATTGGAGCGACAAGACAAAATTTTACATCAGATATACAGCGGAAACGTAAGGCATAGATGGATGACATTGAAAAAATTTTATAATACTCAAAACGTAATTAATGAAATATTTAATAGTTATTTTATATTTTATATTTTTTTAAAAAATAAATACATAAAAAAAATTTTAATTAGCAAATGTTAATATTTTTTTATCATTTTTTATGAAAACTTCGAATATAATTCTCTCTTTTATATATATATATATATATATATATATATATATATATTAATAAAATAATTACTACGTACATCATTAATTATTTTTTAAATATTATAAAATTTATTGGGACGATACTAACCGGTTGGAGGGAAGTGATAGATGGCGGCTTCTTAGAAAGCTATTGCTAAGAGCCTTCCGTTTACGGAAATCATTGACCGACTCATTTGAATCATTTTGTCCTTGATGCATTAGAATGCAATCCAAATGCTTAATTCCATCAAGAATTTGAAGAACGACTCTTTCAAATTGGTTGTGTATTGTCATATCCATGCTTACGGGTGTTTCCTGACGTGACTCCACCATTATTTTTCTCTGCCTTTTTACTCTGTATTCTATCGTCTCCATTACAGAAACTATCATTCGAGTCACCAGAGAATCCGCATCTTCGATTAGCCATTTGATTGAAGATTTAAATACTTGTAACTTTGCATGCATTTCTTCACTCTCTAACATCAGAAGCATGAGAGTGGAAAGCAGGGTTAAGAGCTTAGTTGCCAGTTTACCTACTTCAGCCTTTATTGCTTCATAATCCTCTTTCGATTCAGCATGTTGTTTTAGCCACTTCAGAACACTAGTCTTCTTCGCACCATGTAGATCTTTCTTGAAATCAGCTTTCATTCCATGAATCAAAGTGTACATCCTTTTACTGAAATCTTCTACGCTTGTACGAAAAGCAGCCTCAGAGTTTTTGGATTGATCAAAGATGGCAGCTATTGTTGAGTTCATCAAATTCACATAATGTTCTTCACTTCCAAGAACCGACTCTTGCATTTCTTGATCTGATTCTTCCATATTTCTTGACTCTAGTTGGTCACAATCAGCAGCTATCTTCAAATCTTTTTCACCAACTCCAGTCTTCGACCCTTTATTCCCAATGTTTTCTTCTTTCTTGAATTCATCAGGATGAGCTGATTTCTTGGCAGAATCAATCTGTGTGCTTGATTTTACATTGGTTCTTTCACGAGAAAGAAGAAAACTTTCCATGAACTCATTCCACCTACCGACTTCTTCCCTGATCAACTTGTCTCGATCATCAATTTTTTTCACCAATTGATTCATAATAGAGCCTAATCCTCGAGTGTCAATTTTCAGGATTGAAAGTTCAGCGTGAATTGCATCAAGATCTTTGTCAGCCATTGTTGATTTCCTTGAAAGTCTTTCTTTCTCTCTCTCATAATGTGTATCTTCTTGAAGTTTCATCAGTGCTTCAATTTCAGCCAGGATAGTCTCACTTTCACTTTTGTTTTTGGAAATCAATTCAGCCACCTCTTGTTTCCTCTTTACATGGCATTGATCCAAACGCATAAGTGCAGCCTTGATTTTAAGATCAATTTCAGTTTGATCTTTCTCGCCAGCCATTGAAGATTTCTTTGATTCTTTTCAACTTTAGAGAAACTTTGAGAGTCTTTCTTGAGAGAGAGAGAAGAGAAGCGCCAAAACGTGGTTTTTGTTGTAAACGGTTATTCTGTTATTTCACAAGCTTATAAAGAACCTAAAACTGAGTTAATTAGAAACTAGTTCCTCTATTTTCAATAAATGAATTAATTAGTCTTTTTTATTTTAATAATTAATTATTTAGTCCATTAACCAATGTTGACCATACTTAATTTAATATTATATTATGCCAAACATATTTTATTTTCTCATCAGTATTTCTATAATATTTATTTATCTTTTATCCTTTTCTATTTAAGAAAAAAATGAAATAAAAACATAAACTGTATAAAAATGACTAAATAATTAATTTTTAAAATAAGAAGAACTAATAAATTCATTTTTTCAAAATTAGAGGGACTAATTTATAATTTACTTTCTTAAATTAGATATGATTTCATTGTAACTAAGCCTGCTTCATTGAATAAAATGATGATGTTTGAAGTCTGTTTTGCTTAAAATTACGTTTTTCTACCAAAAAATTGTAAGTGATTTTTTTTAATTTTTTATATTTTTTCTTACACTTTGATCATTAAAAAAAAAAAAAAAAAAAAAAGCGAGGTGCTTCTGATATCAGTTTTTGCATCGTTCATGAGCAAAGTAATACGAGCCATACGAACATCTGTTAGTGTTGCCATGGCATTATACCAAAATTTAAGTTGGGCTTTATGCTAATAAATTAGAAGAAAAGAGCCTAATGGGCCTTCTTCAATGAAGAATCTTTAATGGGTTCTTCTTTTTAACATCTTTCTTAATTAGCTTCACTTAAGCCTTTTCCTTAGTTAATCACTCACAGTCCAAAGCCTGATTCAATTGACATAAATTGAAAGGACTTGCAACAACGAGGATTGATAAGAGAGATATGGAACATGATGGACTCTCAATGGACTGAATCAGGGAAAGGTAAGTGAAAAAACATTCCTATATCACAAGAAAATCAATCACCGGTCTAAACAGTTTAAGGGATAGTGGGATGTTGCAATACAACAATAATAGAATGAACGTATATATATATATAGAGAGAGAGAGAGAGAGATTGAAGAAGAACATAAAATAGTACAAGACTAGCCACTTGCCCGTGTTACACCACGGTCCAGTATTAAAAAATTATTTAAAATTTTTAAATTTATTAATTATAATTTTTTTAATTAATTTTGTTAAAGTTTTTTATAATTTTTTTTAAAAAAAACATAAATCATTCTTATTTATGAATTCATTTTAAAATTAAAAAATATAATAATTTTAACTAAAATATTAATCAAGAATTAAAAAAACTTTAAAAGTATAATTTTCATAATACTGTATTCCAAAAAATAAAGTTCTAATTAATTGATAGACTTTTATAAAAATTAACAAATGAAAAAAAAATCGTATTTAATGCTAATGAGAAGATTAATTTTTAAAATTATCCGTGCAATGCTACGGATAGATAGAAAAAAATCATTTAAAATTTTTAAAAATTTTTATTTAATTATTATTATTATTATTATTGTGTTTTTCATAAATTTTATACTTAAAAAAATGATTGATTCTTCTTTATTGAAGGATTCTTAAATACATACTTGTAATAATTTAAACCTAGAATATTAATTAAGAATTTAAAAGCAAATACTTTAAAATTATATTTTTTTTATAAGAATGTATCAAAAAATAAAATCACAATCAATGCATAGACTTGCATAAAAATTAACCAATGAAAAAAAATTATTCTTATTTAATGTTGATGAGAAGATTTTTTAAAATACATATATATATATTTACAAAATAATCAACAAAATTAGCATAAAAAACTATATTTGAATAATTGGTTGGTTCCCTTAAAAAATTATTTTAATTATCTTATTACAAATAAATTGGTTCTATAATGTTAAAAAAAATATTCATATTAAATAATTTGTATTATGTTGGAAGATGTATAGTTAATTTTTAATATAATCAACGATTAATAATTTTTTTTATATATATGTCTTGACCATATCTAGTGAAATGAGACAAATTATTTAAAATATATTTTTAACCTTTTAGAATAAAATAATTCTATATTTATATATGCTTAACTATCATTTAAAAATTCTAAGAATTCATGATATATATTATACCAATTTACTTTTTAAAAAAAGAAAAAGCAATCATGTTTTAAAATTTTATTCTAAAATTCAAATATAGAGAAAAATAAAAAAAATATTTATCAGTAAATAAAATTTTATATAAAAAATATTAATTGGATGAGAATTTTTATAAAAAAAATAAATTCAAAAAATGAAATTTAAATTATAAGAGTAATATAAACCGACTTATATGTTAATTTTAAAATATTAAAAGATAGTGTGTGTGTGTGTGTGTGTGTGTGTGTGTGTGTGTGTGTGTGTGTGTGTGTGTAATGAAAACTAAGGATTGAAAAAAAAAATGTTACAACATGAGGGATGAAAAAGAGAAAAAAGTGTTAAATTTGTATATTAATGCCCAAAAAAACACAAAAATTATAGTGAGGAAAATTTAAAGGAAGCACCGAATACCTTCATTATCAATGGTGAAATCCATCATTTTTCCTTTAGTCATTTTCTATCGAATCTTAAGCAACTCGTATCGTTTAACTATACTTCCTTAATCCTTTGCTTGGTATTTGGTTGTAATGTCACAACATCCAATAAATTCACCTTACTTCTTCTAGGCATAATTTTCAATTGGAGTTTTTCTATGTATCTTACAATTTGCACTTATAAGGTCGTCATTGACTTTTTGCTTGATGCATCGATCACGATATTCGCTTTATTAAGATGATGATGGAAAATGATGTCTTGATCGATCGATACTTCGAGCCATCTTCTTTACTTATTTAATTTCTTCGAATGAAGATATATTTGAGACTTTTATGATCAATATGGATATTATATTAGACAATCGTACAAGTAATGTCTCTAAATTTTTAAGACAAAGATAACGAGTATCCAATTCTAAGTCATGAGTGGGGTAATTTCTTTCGTAGTTCTTTAATTTTCGAGATGCATATGCAATTACCTATTCATCTTACATCAAGACTAACCCTAACTCAATTAGGGAGGCATCGATATAAACTACTAAATCCTTATTACCCTTTGGAAGACCCAATACTAGGGTTGTAATTAGCCCGGATTTTAGCTCTTAGAAACTCCTTTCACATTTGTCATCCTAATCAAATTTTGCATTTTTCCTTGTTAGTTGTGTGAGAGTCGCGGTTATTCTAGATAATTATGTACAACTTTTTGTTAATAGCCTATCATCTTAATTGAACTCCTTACTTCCAACACATTTTTTGGTTATTTCCATTCCTACACTCGCTCACACTTTACCGGGATCTACCATAATCTCATCTTCGGATACCACATGTTCAAGCCAAAATACACACTTTTTGAGTTTAACATACAATTTATGCTATCATAAAGTTTGTAGTGCTTTCTTCAATTGCTCTATATACTCTTCATGGCTCCTTCGGTATATCGAATATCATCAATAAATATAATCATAAATTTATCCAAATATTCATGAGACACCCTATTCATTAAATCCATAAATACTGCTGGCACATTAGTTAACTAAAATGGCATTATTAAAAATTCATAATGCCCTTATCAAGTCCTAAAGGTTGGCTTTTTCACATCATCCTACCGAACACCAAACTCCATCTTAATGGTCAATAGATTCAAATCCGGATAATCTATACATAGTTATAGTGACCTATATATATATATATATATATATATATATATATATATATATATATATATATATATATATATATATATATATATAATATCGATGCTCCCTATGATGAATAGTTAGGTTGAATATAACCTTTATCTAAAAGCTATTATATTTGCATCATAAGCTCCTTTAATTATGCTCGGGACCATTTGATATGGTGCCTTGGATATAGGTGTTGTTCTTGATTCTAACTCAATTTCAAAATCAATCTCCCTTTTTAGAGGCAATCCCGATAAACTTTTGAGAAAAACATCTAAAAAGTCTTTAACTACTTTAATTTCTTTTAAATTTAGGCTCCTTTCCTTTTTAGTATCAACCATGTTTACTAGGTAGCCCATAAATCCACCTTTATCATCTTTCGAGTCGTCATTGTTAAAACTATGGTTACGAGTTTTATCCTAGTTTTAGCTTGTAACTCAAATGGTTGTTCACCCGATCAATAAAATATCACTTTCTTAACTAAGCGAGTCAATTGACGCCTCATTTTTAGATAGGCAATCCATGCCTAAAATAACATCAATGTCTTGAATACTCAAGACAATGAGATCGACATGTACAATGTGATCTTCAATTGTCATCTCGCATCCTTTAGTTACGGTATTCAATTCTAACGACTCTCCGGATGGTAGTGTCATTTCATAAATAATAATTAACACTTTAGGTGTCAAACCTAATCATCTTAACAATGATCGTGTAACAAATAAATGTGTGGCACTTGAATCTACTAATGTATATGTAATACGATTAGAGATTAGTACATTACTCGCATGTCATATTAGTATGCTCCTTACCCACTTCCTCTTGTGTCATCGTATACACTCAATCGGGAACTCATCATCCTTTAGTTATTTTCCTCTTCGAATAGTTGGTAGCCAAATGTCCTACTTCCCAACAAAAGTAGCATACATTCGTGCCAATCGGATAATCTCCGGCATGTGAACGACCATATTTAGTGTAATTTAGTATGTCTCAATCTCCTTTCCTTTATGGCCTTACTCGCTCTTTTCCCTTTTTGTTACTTTACACCAATTTTGATTAAAAGGCCTCTTTTACTCGGATTAGCCTTCAAACTTATTTGGAGTATTTATCCTTCTACTTTTCGATACTTGCATCCATTCTTTCTAATTTGCCTCAATTCTAAGTGCCTTAATCACCATATTCATATAGGTATCTGCAGACACTTA